CCGGTCATCCCCAGCCCTCCCCAGCAGCAGGGGGTGGTCTGGGGTCCATGGATGGGCAACTCCCCACCCTGATGCATCCAGCATTCTGGGGAGTTCCCCAGTTTTAAATGCTTCAGCTAGCAGATATTGGTGTGTTGGTTGCGTTCCCCATGAAATTGGCAAATTCAGATCCCGGCCCAGCCTTCCCGACCTTTTCGAAGTCGAGGCGCTGACATTCGATGGTGAGGCACGACATGATCCGATTGAGGAGTGCATCTGGTGCAGCGCAATCGAGAAACTGGCCTGTGTGTCAATATGATCCTGTATCAGCTGACTCATAAGCTGTCTGAAATTTCCCCAGGTTCCACCCAGAGGAAGCCCACGTATAACAGTGTGGACAAGCTCGAGTTCAGAGATGGCAACGCCCATCTGAGCAAGTCTGATATGGCTGACCTTGAACTTGCCAAGATACTGTTCCAGATCTCGATGGTCTTTGAGTTTCATTGTGCTGAGTTTGTCGCGTAGCTTGAATTGGGTGAGGACATCCGTGTGCACATATAGGACGGCAATGCTTGCCCAGATGGTGCAGGCCATGACAGAGACACCCTGTGGGAGAAGGTTGAGGATAAGCGGCGTGATTCGCCTTTCAACAATTGTCTGAGCCTTGGAGTCCTTTTGCCACCACTCCTGGTAGGCTGTGATCTGTGCAGGGGTCGAAGACATGTCACATGTGGGAGGCTCAAGAGATTGCAGAAACAGTGCATATATTCTGGTATCGCCTTCGATGTGTCCCCAGAATCCTTTGCCCTGAAGAACCTGACTGATTCCGTGCTTCCAGGTCTCATAGTTGGATGCGCTGGTGAGAAGCTCGATGTGGTCCAGCTTGATGGTAGACATGGTGGGGGATATCCAGAGATAGATGTATGCGCTGTCAGCGAACAAAGGATTAGTTCCTGGGTTTCACTGGAGAGTTGTTACTCGGGCTATTCCAGTGAGTTCGTGGGTCTAACAAAGTTTCAAGAAGGGTCAGTATTCTTATAAAATAGCCAGTCAACCACAGTATGAGGATTGATCCTATGATCCAATGAACTACTAGGATAGTGTAAACTCTTAATCAAGCTTTACCCTTAGTTTCATGAAAGGGTGAGACTGGATAAATACTTGGGCTTGTTAGTAGACTTAAACTTGACTGGTACAAAATATTTGCTTGATTGGCAGCTTAGTCGGTGAAGACTATTGAACACTACTTGATTAAGAATTAACAGGATGGGAGCAGAAATTGCTTAGACTAGCATGAACGACTGGTTACGTTGCGTGCTAGCTGCAAGACAACAACAGGCGAGACTAAAACTAGTGTGAACAACTGGTTATGTTGCGAACTAGTTACGAGAAGGCAGACTAGACTAGCTTGAACGACTGATTACATTGCTTGCTAGTGACAATAGACAATTTGAACAGCTGAGATTGTCAGATGTTCAGGCAAAACTTAGGCACATGAAAACGATGATAGCAGTAAAACTTCTGGGTTGTTGTATATATCTCACATCTGACTCATGATTCTGAGTGCTTACTCATGCAATTCCTTAATTTCTCTAGTAATTACTTACCACCTTACTCAGCTTCTGTCGAGTGCTTATGTTTCTTCTGAGGTGATAACTCTACTCATTATTCATCATTGTTCACACTTATAGATCCTTGAGATGATAGCTCCATTGGTTATTCAGCACAATTGGTGCCTACGCAGTGTACCAATAATCTTGACTAATGTTGCTTATAAGAGATGAAATGGATGAGTGACTGATTGGTAAAGGGATGACCACATTTCATGTGAACTTTCCAACTTGTAATGATGTCAACTTAGTTCGATCTTTTATCAAAACATATTTTGAGTCTGACAGCACGTGAATGAGGTCGCCAAGAGCGATATGAAGCACCGCCAATAGCGAACATGAGTGAGACGCCAAGGGCAATTTGATGAGGGGCAGATCGCCAAGGGCGATCTGGATGAGAAGCCTAGGATATGCTCACCAAGATTTGTTGACAGTGGGGCTTGTCTCAACAACCAGAGCTCATAACCTGTTGGAATCTAAGTGATGCGTAGTGCACTCAGTGTGCAAGGACAACTAGTATTGATGATAATACCTAAGCGATGTGTAGCGCACTAGGTAGGATGTATAAGTATGGTGTTGCAGAGAGGGGAAGAAATACTGTACCTCAGTGTGTGTAAGGACAACTGAGGTATGGAAAAAGGCGAAAGAGGTTTAAATACAGGAAAGTGATTACAGAAACAAACAAAGTGAATGAGGAGAAGGTGGCGCATATCGAGTTGACTGTGTAATCTCAACAAACAGCATGGGAGAAACATCAGCTCTGAAGATCTGACTCTGACTCAGAGTCAGACACATCAGAATCAGGCTTGGGTTCACAGTTTGAGGGTGGATCTGATACTGAGCATCTGTTGGACAACAACACAGATATAGAAGTCACCAATGAGGGCAATGGCTCAGATTCTTCATCATGTTGACCTCAATGGATATGGTTGATCTCTCTGAGGATGTGGGAAGTGCAGGAGTCAATGGTACGCACTTAGAAACTTATATTTTGTAATGACCTGAACAGAGGGGGGACTTGGCCTCAGCATGCTCTTGTGCTGTGCTCCTACACATCATCTGGTTGTCCCCAATTTACAGAAACTGCCTTGGTCTTGACAAAGGAGAGACAAGAAGAAGTCATCCTGGCCAAGGCCCAGGAGACAGAGGATGAACAACAGAGCAGAGGGGATGTCAAGGTTGAGATTCAAGCTGGGGAATCCAGTCCACTACCTAGCTACTTATACTATTGAGAACAATGGAGAAGATCTAGGTTATGTAATGAATGCCAGCAGAACAATGACAGAGAACAATGAAGACAATAATGAATGAAACAATGAAAGTAAAGCCCATTGAAGAACCAGAACAATGAACAATGGAACAATAGAACAATGGGTTCAGGAATGGGATGTGACATATTTATTATATCTATATGCAGCCATATCAGCTAAAAATCTATATCAAACCCTGTGTTTAGCCAGTGTAACCTCATATGTTCAGACTGTGTTTGAGCAGTCAGGTTTCCCAAGGCTGCTGGAGTGAGTTTGCCCAGCAAGAAGCTTTCGGATGGGTCTAGAAGCAATTGTGAACACTTATCAGACTGAACATTTATGTTTTGTGCACATATTTTCAGATAGGAATTCCAAACGGCATCTATAGCTGTCATCCTCTTTATTCCCTCATTCTACCCAAAGCCAGAGGCACCTTGAAGAGCGTAGATCTTGCTGAAATCCTTCTTGAGCTAAATAGAAAGTGGAATGAGTGTGAGAAATAGACATACAGCTAAAAATACTCACATTGCTCCATCAATGCCCACATTTGGCTGCTGTCTTTGGAGCACCACCTGGAGTACTATTAGCTATAAGGGCAGCCAGTACATGGTTCCAGACTTGCTTTTCCAGCCAGCACCAGACTGATTGCCTGCCTCCTTCTCTTCACAGAGGGCTTAGACAAGGGTGGCATCATTCTCTGAAGTCCAGATGCAATGAAGGCCTTTCTGACCAGAATTTTCTTTTCCAGCAGCAGGAGCAGAGGGTGCTATGAGAGTATAAATATGTAGTAAATGAGGATGTGGAGTGCAGTTACAGCACAGGAGATGCAGAGTGACGTAGAATGGGACACAATCAACAAACCATGCACAAAGGTTTGGTGGCTTGTCATGTTTGAAGCAGAGCTGGGTGCATCTGAACACCACCTAAAGCCTGATTCCAGCTTTGAAGCCAAAATCAGGTCTCTACATGGTTTCCAGCCTTCATTTGGCAGACAGCCTTCATGAAAGCCAGGGATCAGAACAGGCCCTGAAGGATTTGTTTTCAACCACCTGTATCAGCTGTAAAAATATAGAAATCCTAGATAGTTTCCTAACTCTAAGTCTACATCTGGAAGGGCAATATTCTACCTTCTGCTTTAGAAAGAGGGCATGTAACAAGATTTTTTTAAATTATTCCTTTTTAGGAAAAATGTATCTGGGTTTGTAGAGCCTCTTTCGTGACCCTGAATCAAGTTGTTTGATGGCATCAGCTGCTCTGGTTGGCAAGAAAAATGCAACTTACTGAAAAAATGGCTTGCATTTTGCAAATTTTGGAATTGTTTGGCTTATATCTTGTCGTTGATGGAGCCAAATAGATCATGGTGATGGTAGCAGGGTCACCTAGGCCTAGAGTTTCTATTCCAATCATTTCTTTGCAAAAAAAAAAAAAAAAAAAAATCTCATAGTCATGTGACCTGGTCATTTTTGCTTTTTAGGTACCTCTACTCCCTGTTTAGGTAGAGCAAAAGAGGACTTGGGCAAATGTTTGCAAAGTCCAAGCTGTTACATGTGACTTTGATATTGATGGCATCAGCAAACTTGATGGTTTTATTGCTCTTCATCAATGCTGAGTCTGGGCCTGGTAATCATGTATTTTATTAATTGTTTTCCTTTGAGGCCATAATATCAAAATTTTGGAGGCTAACCCTGAAGGAAAAGGCAAATAAAAAGTCACATGACCAGCTATCAGTCTTGGCATCAGTCACATATCACATGCTGGGCACTCATTAACCCTTCTGTGGTAATAGGAGAGCCTTCCCAAAATAGAAGGTAGGATATTGCCCTCCCAGATATAGACTTGAAGTTAGAAAACTACCAAGGATTCTAAAAAATTCTAGCTTACATGGCTGTTTCAACGCTGTTTGGGCTCATCTTCAATGCATGCCACACACCATCCACTTAGCTGCCTTAAAGGTAACTGATCTGTCTTTGTAAATTAGCTTCCAATTAATAAAATGTATAATCAAGCTTCTAGAGTCCATTTGGATGATAAGTCCATTAGAGTGATATCCAAGAATGACAGTAAGAAGGCAGTGTCAAAGAGCAGCAACTACCAAGATTGTGCAACTACACCTCTGGACTGCTCACACAATGACAAACTCATTGACAAAGATGAAGATAATGAAGACAATGCACTTGGAGATTTGACCAAAAATATTATTCCAGGCATTCACAAGGTATGACAAATTCTTCATGCATGACTATTAGCACCTTGACAAATGTTTTCATGCAGCTTTAGAAGATCATTTGGTCAATTTGTAGCAGCTCGCAGCATAGGCAGGTCTGGCTTGCTCATCTGGAAGCAAGTAAGAAGTTCTCTAGAAGAGACAGAGAGGAGCACAAATGGCAGGTGCTTATGCTCATTCTGGATGTCAAGACCTAATGGTCATCAACTCACCAGATGCTGCATGGGTCACAAATTTGTTTGTAGCTTTTGTACTTCAAAGTCTAAACACCTCAATGCAGAACATGCCCTTGATTTTTAAGATGAGCTTGATATGTTCACGTCGCTTCCACTGTATTGTGATTTGCACACCTTTGAACTCTCCTCAGAGGACTGGAATTCAATTTGTCAGATGACTCAGTGGCTTAAACATTTCTGTGCTGCCACATTGGCTATGTCACAGATGAAGCAGCCCATGCTGTCAACTGTGCATGCCATTTTCTGCAGCCTTCAAGACCATGTGCAGGATATCTTGCATGATCTCCTGGACACAATATTGCAGCACCTCAAGGATGGGCTTGTTTCAGCTCATCAGAAGCTTAGTGAGTACTACTACAAGTTGGACAAGTCGCCTTTCTACACCTGGGCTGTGAGTAAGTTTGATCAGATTTATTGGTTGACAAAGTTAACTCATGCTTTCTCAGTTCTCAATCCCCATATCATGTATGAAGGCCTCAAGCTCGATTTTGCTGATGAACAGGAGCTACTCTCACACCTTGACAATACCAAGGTGCAGCTCAACAATTTTTTTTGCCAACACTATGCTGACCACAAGCCTTGCATTTCTTCTACACCACCCTCTCCCACAGTTGTTTTATTGACACCAGGTGAATCACCTCAGAAAGTCAGATTCATGTCACGCTGCCAACAGAAAGAGCACCGTGTTGTCAATGAGCTCACCAATTATCTGAAACTATCTTGTGAAGACTTTGACATCTGCAAGCCTGTTCAGTGGTGGGTCAGATATCAATGTCAGTTTCCAGATTTATATTGCCTCATATGTAATATATTCTCTATTCCAGGTATGAGTACCCTATTTATTTCTTTTCTACACTCTAATATTATCTGTTTTCAGGCTCTGCTGTTGCTGTTGAACAGATATTCTCAGGTGGATGAGACACAATCTCATTGAGGCATGCAAGCTTAAGGCCAGATACCATCCGCATTCTCATGCTGGTCAAACAACACCTTTGTTTGGCTCATCTAGCACTTCAGAATGACTAATAGATATGCTACCTCTTTACTGTGTTATTTAAAAAATCCCATGCTCTGTGTGTTATGTTTGCTATGGCTGTAGAGTGCTATTCAGAATACCGTGCCATACTGTCATCCTCTCAAACTTGGTCCTATAGTGATGGCAATGGCTACCTTGTAGCCATAACATTACCATATGTCCATGACCGAAAGCTGTTACAGTATAGTGCAAAGCCCTATTCATGCGCTAGCATGACCAAACTTAGCATACATCACTGGAAGTTGATTGAAAGTTCATTTTGGTTGTATTTGGTCTTTCCTTCATGTGCTAACACAGCCAAACTTAGCATACAACACTGGAAGTCAATTGAAAGTTCATTTTGGCTGTGCTTGGTAGTCCTTTCATATGCTAATATGACCAAGCTTAGCATAAAGTTCATTTTGGTTGTGTTTGCTCCTTTCTTCTATTGATAATGTGTTGCCAAATGCTCAATTTGTGTTGAACAGGTCAATGTCTGTTAGCTTGGCACTAAGGTGAAGGAGGGATGAAGACAGACAACCTTGAGTAGAGTTCAAGTAATATGTGAATAAAATAATACAAAATAAATAAGCCAAACACTTAAACCTGCCAGAAGTCTCTCGGCATGATGGAGCACCCCATGCGATGGAGGGGCAAAGGCAAGTGGCATACAATTCAAATAAATTGCAAGTAAGTTACAAGGGCTTCACCTTCAGCATATGGATGTAAATTTATTTTATGCCTCAATCCCCTGTTCCCTGGTGGGTACTTGAGCTTTATGATAAATCAATTATTCTACCTTTGGGTCCTGCAGATGCAGTTTCTGAGGATTGAGAAAGATGTTTGCTAGGTCTGCTATAACCCCTTTAGTGCTAAGAATATTATGAAATCATTTCAGCAAGGTGTCTGTCAATGGAGTTGACTCTTTATGTTATAAGGCAGGCATCAATTTCACAAAGGTATAGAAGGATACATGTACATTGGTAAATACAAGATCAGCATATAACAAATGTCTGGGAGGGGTCAAGCAGGAGAAAAATATAGTAAATTGTTTGTGGAGAGGGGTTACAGATGCAAGAAGTACACAATACAGTAAATGTTAAGCAGGGAGGGCTCACAGAATCAATTCCCATGACACTTCTTGTCAGGCCTGACCTCCACCTTGATCTTGGGCACAGCTGGCTGCCCCCCTTGCATCTTTGACACAAATTTGAGCAGTGACACCTTGGCCAACTTGTTGGTGTCCTCAATGGTCCTCTTTTCCCCATCTTTTAGAGATTGGATATTTTCATGCTTGATGGCTGCCTGGACACATTCCAATAGGTCATCTAGAGGTAATGAAAATATTGTCGCATCTGGGTCAACATGAGCTGGCACTCTCTTCAAGAAGAGGTGGTTAGGATATTCTATCCTCTTTGAAGCAGGCATTGCTGATAATTCGGGGGGAGCTGGAGCGGGACTGTCAGGAGTAGGACTGTCAGGATCAGAAGCAGGGCTGTTAGAGGATAAAATGTTTGGTGTCATGGTCAGCATATTGGAGTTGGTCAGTGTATTGGAGTCTGAGTACACCTATCCACGCCATTCAGTACTAATTAATGCACAAGGAAGATGGTAAAAAAAAACCTTATATGGATTATGGACAGCAAATATCTGACATGTCCAGGATGAGCCCTCTAGGCCTTCCTCAATGGCATAATATTCTGTCGCAATGATCTTGGGGTTGGCTATTCTTCCCTTTGCTGAGATAATTTAATTTCTGAATTCCTTGGCATGCTGGGGGGTGAGAACCTCACCTTCCTTGTCCTCTAGCAGCAGTGAGTCATGTGCGATAGATGCCCAGGATTCCACTGAAAGTTCTTTGAGTTCCTTCAACCTGATTATCTCCCCCTTCTTATTTTTTAATCCCTGGGGGTTTGGGGACATTTTGAGGTTGATGTTAATGGTAATCACCAGATGAACTGAGCCATAGGTTCCCGTGAGCCACTTTGCTGCAACATAATTTACAGAGCCATGGGCTTGGGCAACAGTAATCTCAAAGATGACCATTGGTTCAGCAGATGACAATCCGGGGACACTGTTGTAAAAGAAGGCATGATCAGGAACCTTGTATTCCTCACCATCAAACAAACGGATTGTTGGCACCCCACATGACCTGACGAGGGTCTCAGGGAGCTCACCCCACCCCCTGGCTGCCATCAGGATAGGAGAAATTGCCTCATGCAGAAAGGAAGGCCATTGCATGATGACACCACCATCCATATAACTCAGTCTGCCAGATTTATCTTGAGATGCGAGTGCAAAAAGCCTGAGGAAACTTACTTGATTTTCTTGCCATCAAGGCCAAAGAGCCCCTCCTTGGCCTTGTGAATAAAGATTTCAAACTCCTGTAAGGCGCATGGTCGACAGAAGACCTCCCCACCCTCTGCTGTTGCCAAGAAATCTTTAATCTCCTGAATCAGTGAAATTTCAGGAGCATTTTGTGGAGTGGAAGTGGCTGGCCCTGAGGATTTGGGATCAGCACTTGCAATGGCAGCACCAGCGAGAGCCGTGATATTGCCTATATTTGGATAGGATTTGTGGTCATGGAACAGAGTGGCCATGCTAGAAGTGGGTTTGGAAGACATTTGAGGACGAGGGCGAGAAAGAGCAGAGGTTGAGCATGTATCAATTGTCGTGGTCAATGAGAGAGATGTCAGCAGTGCAAAAAGTGTCCGTATGAGGCAGGTTCACAGTAGCTTTTGTGTCGTGACTCTCATCTCAACTGACGCGAGTTCATAACTCTGACGTGCTACTCTCCCATCAGACTCTGTCGAGTATGCATGCTTGTTGCTCCTCCCAATTTGCAGCTCTATAAAAGTTCTCCCATTGGATTACACGTCCTGGCTCACCTTTCAACTTCACATTGCCTGGTAGTATATGTGACTTTGACAACCCCACCTTCTCCAGCAACTCAAGGCCTTTGCAAAAGCTCGGTGGCACCCAGTACTTGCTAGGCATTGACAGTACTGTCTGTGCTACAAGTTCTGGAAGCACAGTACTCCACCCTGCTTTTGACAGCGACACCCTCCTCATTGCTTGATTCCGAGTCTCCAAGCCTAGCTGTTGCGTGACCGTGAGTCTCGTATCCGATAGGATAGAGGGGAGATGTACAGTTGGAGGATGGAGGGTGTGGGTTTCAGTTTTGGTGCGTCTTTTGGCTCTCCATTTTCCCTCCTGCTTTTCTCATTTACCCTAGTCACTCTAGCCTCCAGATTCCTCTCCACCCTTCTGTGTTGTAATACTCATGATTCACCCAACTTCCAACCTCAACAAAGAATTGAGGCCCCCTCCTGACGCTCATGAAGATACCTCACAATGCGGATCTCTACCACCACTACATCGTTTTCCACAGGACAGGACAGGCGGGTGGTGGAAGGGTTCACTAGTGCACTGACTGCACTGCCAGGCCTCAACCTGCAAGGGGAGCTCTGATTCTCTCTGCATTCACACTCGTGAACGCCTGTTGGCCAGGTCAAATCATTGCTACATTAGCTTGAAGCAGGAGGGCATATGGAGCCAAGGTTGAGTCGACCACTATGCCTGTCTTCATTAGGACATCGCATTTGACGATCCAACATCAACCCCCAGGTCCCTTCAGTTCCATTCTACACTCTGAACACGAATTCGCCTCTCGACATCCCTTCTGAAACCAGAACAAACAGAATGACTTGAAACCCAGCTGAACACATCATTGATTGCCCACACTTCTCCACACTTTTCCCCCAACCACCCCCACAACCCACACGATTCCTCATCGAATTTTGTGAGAGTGACCTATGACAACCCTGCTGGTCCCCAGCGACAAGTAGATATGCACCACTGAGCACCACCAAGGATGGCACTATGCCAGACTCTCACCGCAGGCTCGTTGAGAACAAGGACTTCCTACTGATCATGTTCCTCTCTATGATTCTTGTCGCTGTTGCAGGCTGCGTCTCTCGCCATGAAGTGCATCTCAAGCTTGGACATTGTCAACACAGGGTACATGGAGAACAGCACATACCCAAACACCATTGTGTACCTGGGAGTGCTGTATGCTGGGCCTCCATTGGGCAAGAGGAGGTTCCATGCTCCCATTCCGCTGGATGTGGAGCATGTGGCACGAGGCGAGAGAAGGTAGTGGATGTGGGAGTGTCTTGTGATGTGTTCAGGGAATGATGGGTGGTGCATCAGGAAAAGGCACCCTGTGCCCAGGGCAACACAGACAAACACCATTTTCCCAGAGTTATTTAGCACCCCTCAGAGCACTCAAAGTACTTTGAGATGCCCTGGACATCTTCAGAAACATAGAGCACAACATCACTTCAGAAACTATATTATACATTATAGATGTCAGTCTATTCACTACATTAGTCTAATAGATGGTCTGATATGTGTATTTGTCTACCCAATTGTTGACTAGAAATGATGAAGCAAGATCAAGTACACTAGAAGACGTCCATTTTTTCTCTTCTGGAGGAGTATCTCATGGAGCAAAGCAAGGAAATAGCATACAACTCTGGCGAATATTAGATAAGGGAACCACTATACCAGGTAGGTGTCCACCTGCTCCAGAAATCTTTGAAATCTTGTACATTCCATGATAATGGTCAGCTGTTCCAGGTAAATTTGAGTACCATTCTACATAGGCCAAAGGTCCTTGTGGCCAGAATTTTGGAGGCTTTTCAGGACCAAGGCCTGCATCAATGGTTTCAGGAAGGGTGAAGATGACTCTAACACGGCCAATACAGGTACCTAATCCAGGAGATAATCAGTTCGTTGGACCACAAGTAGTAATTATTAAACTGTCATACCAGCTAACCCTGTTGATTGAGCTTCATCATTGACCAAGACTACTGCTGTATCATATCGTCCATGTGGATAGCCCTTGCTTTGTGGAATTGCCCAGATAATATCATGCTCTTCCTCGTCATCCTGGATTCCTTTAGGTTGAAAGCGGAACATATTATAGGTACTGACTTTGGTGAATGGCAGTGAGAACTGAGCAGTTCTTGCAGCAGACATTCGTGGTGCAGAAGAATTTGCCACCAGAAGACCACCAAGGTATTGCTTGAGATGGTAGGAGAAATTGGGAGCATTGTGTACAACTTCAATTTGTGAAAGAGCGCGGTTTTTGAAGTTTGGTTCCTTTGCAATAGTAATTGTAGATTCAACCTCATGTAAGTCATCTGAGTTAGCACCAGGAGAAGATGGTGGAGACGGTGTGGGATGAGGTACAGAAAAGTGGGCAGATATATATGTTGCAAGCTGAGAGATCTTCTCTTGCCGACTCAGCCAGCGAATCATCTGGGGGAATTCATCGCGCTTGTTGGAGGCATGCCAGCCATGTTTAGCAAAGTCAATGTGAAGGCGCTCAAACATCTCAGTATTGTAATTATCAGTCGTTCCAAAGAGCTTGATGGAATGGATGTAGTGGAGAAGAGAATGGAACTTGGGAATGTTGAGGTGTTGCCAAAGACCAGTGTCAATAAAAAACTGCTTGTTCTCCTGAAATTCGTCAAGGGCATCTTGAAGATAACGGAGTGTTTCTGTAGTATGAGATGTATACTGAGCTATATAGATGAAGTCGAGAAGGGATCGGATGGCGGTGATGCCAGCACAAGGAAGACACCCAACCAGACACCCAAGAAGAATCTTTGCCATATTCTTCCTTTCTGGTCAAGTTCTGCTGGAGTAAGCAGGGTCTGACACCAAATAATAAGATGCTTAAAGATGCCTTGGTACAATTGATGAAGGACGTCAGGGGTGATTGTATTGTGGATGTTGCAGTGGGGAAACTCTTTCCAGAAGGGGTCATAAGTACCTCCAGACACATCTTGCTCCATGCAGTAGTCGTGAAATGCCTTTGCAGAACCATTACTTTGTTTTTTTGCCTCTTCAATAATAGATTCAGTCCATTGCTGGCATGTTCTGTACTTGGAGCAGGTCACAAGACACTGCTCTGGATAGTTGGCCACATAAGAAGTGAGGATGGGAAAGACGTGGTGAACAGCACCATCAGAACTTTCCATTTGAACACCTTTGATACTGGCTTCAATGAGTGGTCAAAGAACCTCGTGCATGGACTGATGAAAGATACGATGCATTCGAGAGCGATGCTGTTGCTCCGTCATCTCTATCCTCTTGACCTTGTCAATGGAAAGATATGCAATAAGAACACAGGCATTCTTTGTGGGTTTGCGTCGAAGAGACTTGGGAATGTTTCCAATGGTAAGGTAGACTGGATATGCTGATTTGTTGCCCAAGAACTGAGTCAGTTGAGTCTTGTCAGTAGCGATGATAACTGGAGCTACAGTTCCACCTTCAGGAACTGTAGCTCTACACATGGGATGAGAGGGCAATTATCATGAAAATAAGGGAGCTTACATACCTGGAGAACATGCCACCATTGCCCTGTCCACATCTCAGAGTAGATACAATTCTCTTGTTTTGAGTCAGAGTAAACACAGGTTGGGGCAAATGCCATCTTTGGAGAGATTTCAGGATTCTTCCAAAGGCTCTTGATGGCCTCAATGGGATCACGATGGCGAACAGTGAATTTCTCATCTGGACGGTCTGAGAAGGCAAGTTCTTTGGTTTTCCACTTGCCAGCTTTCTCTGGAAGGGAGTCGACCTTTTTGTGAAGTGCTCGGACATTATGGTATGAGAGGCCAAGCTTCCTGACAACCTAAACAACATCAATATGCCGGTAAAATCTATTGCAAATGGGTAACTTACTCCAAGAATTTTTAGCAAGCAGTCAAAGGTGTTGTGTCCAGGACTGTCCTTGATGGCCCATTGCGCAATCTTCCAGTCAAGCTCAGAAGTGAACGGACCATAATCTTGACCAAAATCTTGTGGATCTCCCATACGAACATCACCATCTTGATCCTTATGAGGTGGATCATGCAAGATATGACCTGCTGTGGGATGTGTCCAAGTCACCCGTTCATCCTTGTCATCATCCAGTTGCTGACCTCCTGCTTGGTCTCTTGTTGGAGAGTCAGGTGGTGAAGAAGGACCAGCAGCAGATGAGCTTGAAGTACCAGCATTTGGTTCCTCTTCCATAGATGGGACAAAGTGGGCATGATCAATAATAGGATGGACAAAGTCATGGAAGACAAAGCCCACACCATCATCCTCATCATCCCAGTTGACTTCAGAATCCTCATCCCACTCTTGTTCCATCTCAGGAGATACAATGAAAGAGTCAATGTCCTCCTCATCAATATCCAGAGCTCGGAGCTTTCCTTTCTTCCATCATGAGCAGGCCTTCTTGGTTGTTAGATGGGAATTCATGCCTTTTACGGTCTGGAAGATGTGTCCACAGGCAGGGCATTGATTTTCTAGGAGAGGAAACTCTCCAGAAGTTTCGTATAAAGGCATTGGATTGGGAAATGTGAGAACAGATGAGTAGTGACAGGGAAAGCAAAATGAGAGCGCAATAGCAAAGGAAGCAGGGAATGTCTGATAGAGAATGTAGGCCAATAACAAACAACGGACATTACCGAATGCTCAGACTCAGAAAAACTAGTCATGAGACTGTCTCAATGATGGTTATATGAACAACAATGTCCTGATTGCGCCTCCTTCGGAAATCTGTTGATTGACTTCTGTCAGACTAAAATTAACAACAAAGAAAGAATAAACTCACAGAAACAATTAGCCATTTCATTTATCCAGCACTTCTCTCTTATTTTTCTTCCAGAATTATGAATGGAACAAAATCGGGGACCTGAAGATGTCAAATCCTCAAGTGACGGAAGAAAGGCAGCAAAATGGAAACTTACCCAATGCTATGATGGATGAAACCACAGGAAAAGAGGTGTTGTGCTCAAGTGCATGCTCCTCCATGTACTGAAGGAGGGAAAGCTCTTCCTGTTGCTCCATGAGTGCATAGAGATGGAACAGCTTTGGAAAGTCGGTGTTGAAGTCCAATACATCTTGCTGGACTACTTCAGGCATGGTTGATAAATCTAGGGTGGGTTGAAATATCGATTAGCTAGTGGAGGAATATGCAGATTGTTGAAAAGAGAGCCTACAAGAAAAAAGATGGTAATAGTTGAGATATGAGAGACAGTTGTATGGTTGCCGACCACATACCAGAACTGGGCACATGAGAAAAGACACAAGAGTTCTACCGAATCTCCAAAGTGTTCCTCACACAGGACTAAGAGAGGAAAAGACAATCTCATAAATTATTATTATGAACACGGGCTTGAGAATCTCTCAAATAGAAAAAAAAGGGAATCACCACACTACCGACACATGTTAAACTTATGTTGCAGATTTACTGAGCTTAAGGACATATATGCAATTGAACTTATCAAATGGTACAATGACAGAAAAAGATATCAGATTTTGTGGCAACCAAAGGTACGATACAAACGAGCTTATAGCTGAGAAGAAAAGAAAACACAAGGCCAAAAGAAAAAGAAAACAGGGCAGAGGTGGGAGTAGAAGGCAGTCTCATCAAACAAAAAAATTATGGTCGAAACAGACAGCAATAAACACTAAGAAATGAAGAATGTCAAAAGTAGCATACCCACCAAATATCGCCTGGAAAAGAAGTCAACAAACTCCAGGCAATATGGCAGTGCCGCATGTTGTCGGCCTTCGGAATTTGTAAGGATGAGAGTAGGGTTAGTGACAAGATGTAGGTGGTCGGGATCTAAGTGGAGTGTCATACTATGCTGCAGGTACCTGAAGAGAAGTTCAGATGACTGTCAACTCTGCAACAACAAATGAACTTACTTCACACCATAATCATCCACCAAGATGCGATCTTGCTCATCTGCTCCTTCAGGACCCACAGGAGGGACATCATCCAAGTCGTACTTCCATCTCTCCTCCAGATGCTGCTGTCGACTTCTATGTCATCACCTTTGAGGTTGAACAAAACTGAATGGCAATCACAGAGGGCTATTGACAGGCGGATAATATCCCAACGATCAAGGTAGATTCACCCTCCTCTGCCATAGCACATATGAGCGGCATGAGATTGGTGTGGAGGGGGAAGGGATGGAGGGGTGCTGTCTTTGTTAGTCTTATCAGAGCTGGACAAAGGCCAGGCAGGAGCACCAGGAGGAGGTATGTATTTGAAGAGTCTGCAAGCATAAGGAGCCGGGTGGGTTTGGTAGGGGTTCTAGAAACATGAGGTAAGCACTATTTCAGAGTAAAGGTCCTATAAATGAAAACATACATCAATCTGGTCATCCCAGTGATGATCAATATCCTTCTGTCTTGCCAGCTGCGACTTGATCTGCTCACGAATCATCGCAAGTCGCTCCTTCGGCCTAATGATAATTTCTGGACAAGGAGTTGAAGCTTGATTATCTGTCCTTATCTTGAGTCCTCCCACTCAACTATAGAAAGAAATCAGATACCATCCACAAGAAATCGAAGAGAAATAAAACGTACACAACTTCCAGTTTCTTAACTGGCTGTTCCTTGTCTACCAAGAGCTCCTCATTGATCTTCTCGTTGAGTGAAGGAAATTTGCGTTTGAGATTGGCAAATGCTTGTCGTTTCTCCCAGAGAGCTTGCGCCTGGATGGCATTCTCCTTGTTGAGTGTCTCTCAAATGAGGATCGACTTCACGAGCTCAAGCGGATAGTTCAACTCTATCTGCAGGCAAGCAAGTGAGGTCACTTGCTGTGCCCTTGTCTTGCGGACTGCTTTGCTCTCTCTCCACCGGAAACAAATGTAGAATTCATTAAGGGTGTCGGATTCATCGCCCTACATGTTTGATGAGTTCAAAGAGAAGAAATAAAAAAATGAGAGCACTCACATTTAATGTGGGTATGATATGGTGGCCGCCTTGCTTGACTCTGCATTCCTTCCAATAAGAATAGGCGGCCTTGGCGATCTTCAACAGAGCAGGCTGCACAGGTATCCACAACGGGTTGACAAATATCACAAGCATGGATGTCGGTAGGGGGGCTGAGAACACGTCCTGGTACTCCGAGAACGCTGGGAACTCCATGCCATCGATCGCAGGGGTGTCGGAGGGTGGTGGAAGGTGAAGGACAAGTGGTGGTGGGTGAAGGAGGAGCCAGGGTGGCGGTGGCCACTCGTTGGCCAATCATGCACCGAAACGCCGCCAAACTTGGATGTTCGGCGTCATTGGGCATGCAGGGTGGTCGTCCGCTGGTTGTATGGCACTTCTATCAGCTACAACAATACATCAGATACTGTATTTTTACAGGGTAGCCTCATAGATCAGGACTGTGTTTTTACAGTCCACCTCCCAAGGGACAACGGAATGCCTTTGCCGGGTGTGCCGGGGCTCGCAGCTGTGGGCAGGACCTGTCAACACACACAAACAATGCAGGAAACAGTGTCTGAACACTGTTCCTCTGAACACTGTTCCTCATCGTTTGTGGTGCTCCCACCCCTGTTTTCGGTGGGGAAAAGGTGCCAATGATGAAGAAACATATTTCCTCATTGTTGTGCACCATTTCCCCTGCTGTTGGGGTGGCGGGATAGGCTGGATTGGGAGGGGCAATCTGGATGATGCGGCCTTTTCTCGGGCGTCGGTTATTTTTAGACATCCTTGTGTCCGGCAAACTTGGATATGCTCAAAGCACCCCAAAAAGCGACAAAAAAAATCATATTAAATAAGTACACTATGCGGGTGGCTCTACCAGCCGCCCGCTGTGAGATGGAGAGAAAGAGAGCAGAAACAGTACCATGAGCACACTGTTTCTGCTCGGATTCATGATGTACCATGCCTACCCCCCCCCCCCCCCCGCACTGTGCTCGCCCTTGCATCCTTGCGCCACGCTGGTCCTTGCAGTGTGTTTGCTCTTGTGGGTCATCTCACCCTGCTCGCCCTTCCTAGTTGCCCTCTTTGTTGTTGTCGCTCCTCACCTGCTGCTGTCATCTTTCCCCGTCGTTGTCGCTCTTCACCCGCCGTCGTTGTTGCTCTTCACCTGCTGTCATTGTCATTCTTCACCTGTTGCTTTACCCATCATCATTGTCATTCCTCATCCGCCATCAGTACCATCACCCCTTGCTGAGACTGGTATTCCTCACCCATTGTTGTTGTTCCTTGCCCTGGCGGTCATGCTCACTCCCCCTTGTGGTCGTACCCATGTTTGCTCCTCCACCTCCTCGTCTTGTCGTTCTCACCCATGCTGGGTCGTGATCAGGTGGGCTGGTTCGCCGCCGTCTGAGTGGTCTACCTACTCCCCATCCCCCGCCCATGCTACCCCTTTCGCTTCCCAAAACCCGTCGTACAAGATTACACATTGTCTCTTGGATGATGTGGCTCTGTATGACACAAGAAGGGGGAACAGGGTGGGTGGCAAGGAGGAAATGAAGGGGGGGTGTATTTGAGGGTGGGCAGCCACGAAATTGGGTGGAGGTAGCATGGTGAGGTGGTGCGAATGAGGTGGTGACAGTGAGGTGACAACAGCAAGGAGAGGCAGGGAAGAGCCCCAGCGCAAAGGCGGGCTGTCATTCGCTCTTGTTGTCTTGCTCTTGCTCTTGCTGTCTCGCCTCTGTATTCGTCGTCCATCATATCATCTCCATCTCCGTCGCCATTGCTGTCTCGGGTTCTGGTCGTGCCCTCCTCCCTGCGACCTATCTGGCCACCTTCCTCTAGACACCCCAGGCCAACGGACACCCTCCACCTGCTCCTGTCCTCATCTGGTCCCACCGCACCCTTCATTTGACATTCCTGTCATAGAATGATGGAGGGAGATGGTAGAGGTGGTGGCGAGGTCATCAACGCCGATGTAGGATGAGGGGGTGGTGAGAGGCATTGTCGTTGATGAACAAAAGCTGTCCCACATCCCTTTTGGAAGGGGAGGGGTACATGGTGAGAGAGCAGAGAGGGGGGTGGGTCTGCCATGAATGCAGATCGCCGACCCACATCCCTTGTTGAAGGGGAGGGGCACACGGAGCGAATAGGGCGATGAGGGCGAGGTTGTGCAAAGGAGAAGAGGTGATTGCTGCCGTAGATACAGATATGCCAGCCCATATCCCTTGTTGAACAGGATGGGCATGCGGCTGGGTGGCAGGTGTTGTACACACGAAGAGGGCCATCCTGCAGTGATAGAATATGTAAGTAAGTAGTTTTCGTAATAGAGAGCGGCAATACATACCTTATATGTGAAGAGAACGAGTGCTCATCGCCTGCATCTTGCCGCCTCCACTTCAACTTCCCTTCCTGTTTCCGTCTCGCCTGTGCAGAGGCACAGACCCACATCCCTTGTTGAAGGGGAGGGGCATGAAGCGTGGTTTGAGGGAAGAGGGGCCGCCATAAAGGGAGGGGCATGCAGCGGGGTGACAGATGTTGTACATGCGAAGGGGTACGCCCTGAAGTGATAGAATATGTAAATAAGTAGTTTAAGTGATAGAGAACGACATTACTTACCTTATATAAGACGAGCCTGAGCAGAGTAGCTGGTCTTGAGTCATCGGGGCATGCCAGGTGGTAGTTGAGAGCAGCAATCAACGGTGTTCAACACCGTTGATTGTCGTTTCAGCGAACTCCGCTGTGGGGTCCCATTGGCTGGAGCCACCGGCCCACCTACAGGCCATGTCAAGCAAAATGTTGGCGATGCCCCCAAAGGACATCGGCCGCTTGTTTCTGCAAATTAACTATATAGTATTGATCTATAAGTAGATTGGAGTCTTTTTTCTGTACTTGAATGGCATGAATTTGCATAGGTATAGTAGAGATGAATAAGTGAAGTGTTGGTACTTTAGATTACAACAAAAATCTTACTGCTGAAGTGTGTACTTGAAGAATGTGACATTTAAAACTGGGAAATGCTTTAGAAGAAGCCTTAATACTTTAGGATACATATGCTATGTTGAAAAATTCGAGTATATAGTCTGATTTCCCTATTTTTTATTGCTGTACGTCCAAGTAAGTATTGCACGATGTCCCAAAATCACCATGGACACATTGTGTGAGCTATATTCTGAGCTCAATTGTAATGGGATCTCTTCAAATTTCTATGTACATGTTGTAATCTATGTATAGAATTGTATCCGATCCTTATTTTGTAGCTGAGTGAGCTGTGTGTGAGCACACACACATCCCATTGCTTGAAAGATGGAAGACGGGACTCAGACCGAAGGGTCAACAGCCAATCGGAACCCATGTGGCAACAGCCGAAACGCGATCAACAATGTTGATCATTGTCTCGACACCAGCCCACATCTCCCTCCACCTCTCCCACTGGCCATCCAGCCCCGAAAACGTCTCTAAAAGGTATGTAAAGTACTTTTTATTGTTTTCATTGACTAATTACTTTGTTTTATCATGTCAGCGCCCGCCTGTGTCACAGATGATGTGGTGCTTCGACTTGCTCCTGCCGTGCGCCCCTCCCCTTCTCCAGGGATGTGGGCCAGCCCCCTCCTCCTCCTCCCACTCTCCCTTGATGACGCGCTATCGCCCACGCTCCGAATTTTAGCCCCACCCGTCGCTGCTCGCCCCGCCATCAATGACGACGCCGATTTGCCCACAGCCCCTCGAACTTGAATGCTGCGCACCCCTCCCCTCGAGTAGGGATGTGGGCAACTATGAACACCCCTCTGACCACCCTAATCAACTCTCTGCCCTCTCTGCCTCCCAGCTCTCTCGCCTCTCACACTCGTGTTTCCCCTCAACAGGGATGAGGGCGATGCCCTTTGTCCTTCCACCCTCCTTCCTCCTGTCAATGCTCGCTGCCGCCTTTCCTCATCTCCCTCTCCTCTCCTCCACTTCCCCCATCCTGGGAGCCACGGCATCTTAGAGATGTCATGGAACATTCAGATGGGGTGGGAAGCACTCCCAACCTGCCAACCTCTCCAACCTCTTCCCCTTCCATGTGCACTCCAGCCTCGCAAACGCACCTGCTGCCTGGACTAAACAGCTGGTAGGACGGAGCAAGGACAGGGCGACAACAGGGTGAGGACAACAGCAAGGCGAGGACGAGGAGGGCGACGGGGTGATGACAGGGTGAGGACGGGCCCGCGAGGACGAGGACAGGGTGACGACAAGGACAGGGTAGCGACGACAATTGGGCAGCGATGAGGAAGGCGATGGGGCGAGGACAGGGCAACAAGGAGGATGGCAACAGAGCGAGGACAGGGTAAGGATGAGGACGGGGCAACAAGGAGGATGGGGCGACGACAGGGCGATGACGGTGGCGATGACTGGGAGATGACGAGGCGAGGGCGACAATGTGGTGAGGGAAAACACCGCGCAAGGACAAACATGGTGCCAACCATGACCATGGTGCCAACCATGACCATGGCACGAGTATGACGAGCACAGCACAAGGACGATGACAGTGCAAGGACAACCGCAGCTTGAAGATGATCGCAGTGTGAGTGGGAGCAAGCACAAGACAAAGCCAAGCACAACCCACCATGAGGCAAGGGAAGCACGAGGAGCACGGCAGGAGGGCGAATACGGCGAGCGCAGCGCAGCATCCACCCGAGCAGAAACGGCGCAATGGCACGCCATTTCTGCTCATTTTATCTCTATCTCGGAGCAGGTGGCTAGTAGAGCCACCTGCTCTGTTGTACTTATTTCATTATAATTTAATAAGATTTTTTGTCATATTTTTGGTGTTCTGTGAGGATGTCCGAGCTTGCTGGACATCGTAATAGACAACAACGAGCATTATTTGCCTAAGGCCCTCAGAAGCTTTACAGTAAATTCTAAAAATAACTGATGTCCGAAGAAAAGGCCGCGTCATCCAGATTGCCCCTCCCAATCCAGCCTATCCTGCCACCCCAACAGTGGGGGAAATGGTGCACAACGACGAGGAAATATGTTTCTTCATTGTTGGCACCTTTTCCCCACCGAAAATGGGGGTGGGAGCACCACAAACGACGAGGAACAGTGTTCAGACACTGTTTCCTGCATTGTTTGTGTGTGTTGACAGGTCCCGCCCACAGCTGCGAGCCCCGGCACACCCGGCAAAGGCATTCCGTTGTCCCTTGGGAGGTGGACTGTAAAAACACAGTCCTGATCTATGAGGCTACCCTGTAAAAATACAGTGTTTGATATAGAAATGTAGCGGACATGGCTGCATACGGGTGTCGGAGGGCGGTGGAAGGCGAAGGACAGGTAGTCGTGGGTGAAGGAGGCGGCAGGGCGGCGGTGGCGGCTCATGGATAGACGGCAACGAAAACAATGTCGAATCAGCACGTTTGATGGCGTTTGACGTTTGCTGTGGTCATCTGTAGGTCATGGGTGTGTCGTGGGGCAGTGGATCCTGGAGGGATGGTGGTGGTGGTTGCAGGAGGTGAGAAGGGCGCAGAAAGGGGTTTGTGGGCAGATGGAACCCGAAAAATGCTGCTGAACATATGAGTTCAGCATCATTGGGGGTGTGTTGTGGTCGTCCGCAGGTCATGGGCTTGTCGCTGGAGGGCAGTGGGAGGCAAAAGGGTGGTACTGGGAGAAGGAGGCAAAAGGGGCAGCAGTAGTGGTTTGTGAGTGGACAGAGCCCCTGCTCGTTCGATGTCATTGGGTCCGCAATTCACTCGTTCACAGGGTTGTAGGTGTGTTGGAGGGTAATGGAAGGCAGAGGATGGGCAGTTGGTGGATGCTGGAGGTGGGAAGGATGAAGGTGGGGGGTGAATGGGTGAATGGAGCAGCAAAACGACCCCAAAAGTGCAAGTTCGGCATCACTGGGTGTGTGCTGTGCTTGTCCGCGTAGACAAGGGAGACAGGTGGGGGGATCGATATGTGATAACGTTGTCTGGGGTTCTGGAAGTGGTGGAGGCGGGCGGTAGTTGGAGCAGGGGGGCAGGATGTGGGTGCTTTGGTGGGAACACCCTCAGACTCATCATGTGATCATAGTTCACGCGACTCTGGGTGTAAACTGGACTTTCGTGGTGACGAGCCAGTGAATATGCATAGGATCTGCACGATGAGGGAGTTGATCTCAGAATGCGAAGGATAAAAGACACGAAAAAGGACTCACCTTGATCCCTTCCAGAACCTGTGATCAGTGCCTTGACATGGACAAGATAAGGAGAGAGCCGTGCAGGGTCAAATTGCCTGCCATCCAGCGTCAGCCTGACGCTGGATTTGCATGGGGTGAAGAGACTTGGAGAGAATCAACAAACGAGATGATGCGATGTCATGTCTGTGACAGTATCACATGACTCCATAACAAGTCTGTTCCAACTTCAACTTCAAGTCTTCAACGTTCAACCATCGACTCCACTGGTCAGCACTCGCACTGTGTCCCCACTTGTCTCAAACACTCAATGCCGCTGTCAACTTGTGCATGCCACCTGTTGTTCTCTCAAGTCCTGAGTGCCTGGCACTCGCTCGGTATCTCAGAAACGACACGGAACTTCCAGATATTCTTATGGCAGCCTCAATGAAGATTGAGGCATGTGTGCGGCAAACACCTGCCACCCCATCTTTTGCACCCTCTCCTTCACAATTTCTTGCAGTGAGTATCTTGGCCTGTGAATAAAGTTAACATGTTAATCATTTCTTAGAGCATCAACGGTCTGGATGATCCATGGCAAACTCCCCCTCCTGCCGACCATTATCCTGTCCAATCAGTGAGTTCATTGCCTTCATGTGCTACATTTTCTCTATAGTTCTGACTTCTTGGTCATCTAGATCTCTTCCAAAGCATCAAATTTTTGGGACAAGGATGACGATATATTTCCACTGACCCCATCTCCTCATTTCCTTGGTGTTGACCCAGCCACTCCTCGTGGCGCTCTCAGCCCCATGTCGGACCTGTATCTCCACTCTCCCTTTCATCTCTCCCACTCGGAAATTGCAAATACCCGCCAACGCTCACAATCAGCAAGTCCTGTGGCACCTTTGTCTCTGAGCTGCCTTGCCGGAAACCCTGAACACTGGACCTCAAGTATTCAACCCTGTGTCCCACAGCGAAGGTGGCAGAGCTTGTCCCTCAGTACCCCATTGCCCCGAAACTGTTGCCAGTTGTAACCAGACAGCTCTAGGGATTGTTCAACCCATGGACATCGTGGTCGTTCACGCATGCGATACCCACTGGATAACTACCCCTCGACTCGGATACAGGCCATGGTAGCATTGAGTCAAGTTGAGAGCATGGAGGTTGATGGGGCAGACGAGGATGGGCAGTTGGATGGTGGGGAGGAGCTGGATGGGGAAGATGACGATGAATACCGACCTGGGGCAGGAGAGGAAACTTCAAGGCTTTGTGGTGGGGCTGGGTCTGGCAACAACCGTTGTCGTTGTCGTTGTCATTGAGGTAGCAGCTGCAACCATGGTGGTGGTATGGCCCCACCTCCATGGTCGTATAATGTGATGACTCGTTGTGGAAATGCCAATGATACTTCTGTTGAACGTTGCCGAGAAAGCTTTGAGCCTGCATGTTACGATGAGAACAACCAAGAAGATGACCCTGACAGCCACCACGGTGCTGGAGCTACAGACTCCAACAATGTTGATAATCAAGAGACCCCCAACATTGATTCAAGTGGGCAGGTTTATGGCCCACCTACCCAAGCTGTGGCAGCGGCGTCACTTGCGGAGAGTCTTGCTGGCAGTGGAATGGCTGAGGTTCACAAGCTCAGTGGACCTATGCACAAGTTGCTCGAGAAGATAGCAAAGCAGGCCAAGATAATCTGTGACCGCTCTTCTGGTGAAGATCTGCACCCTATTGAGCAGATGTTTCGTTCTCTGGGCTGTGGAATTTCCTCTCCTTGGGATCCTCTTGACATACACCATGCTCAGTCTCTGATTGAAGGACCAGATGCTGGTGGTATTCCTCAAGACATCGTCAATTCTGTAGAGGAGATTGCTCAATGCTGCCTTAGAGCAGAAAAACTGGCTGTTGCTGCTTTTTTCATTTATATGATGGGGTGCATGCAGTTCCAGTCCAAGATCATTAGGTGTGATTTTATTTTGTCTTTTTTCTGAATGGCTTACTTAGAAAGAAATATTAGCCTCTGTCATCAATTCTCAATGCAGATAACACCTCTTCTTACCAACATGAAGAGTGATATTGTCGTTCGTGAGTGAATGCGCTTTGTTGAAGACAGTGGGCACTATGTCCTCATCTCTGGGGCTGGTAAGTTGCTCTTTTCGCATTAGAAGCAGTATTGACTCCAAGTTAGGTAGCATATACCTTTTGGCACTTTTTGCCCATGTTAGCGCTAAAACACCTATGAGATCAATACCACTGGATGACTATATTCATCTATCGAGCATGATACGTTCTCCTAAACCAGGTATTTTCTCAGTTCTTATTATTGTAGTCGAGTTAATCTGCTTCTTAGGCTCCCCGGTTGGCAGTCTGGTAATTCAGGACCTTATTCCAGCAATTGACACTCTCAGACGACGATATCCCATCAGATTCTCCACCATGTTCTCGTATGAGATGCTTGACCAGACCAATCTTCCTTCCGATATTGATGCCTCCAACTTCCGACTTTCTGACAATTTTTTTGACAGTTTAACATATAAGTAAGTCATTTATCATGGTTAATTCTCTGGAGTAATTTCTAAATTCATTTCAGTGCTTTTCTTAAACTAAGAGATCCAGTCTTCTGGTCCAGATGTTACTCTCCAGTTATTTATCTGGTATCAATGCCCTATCATGTTATGAACAAAGTGCTTTATACCACAACCTCTTGCCAGTCTTCTACTCCAAGCTTTGCCTCTTCACCTACTCGCTGCTCTTCCTCACCGACTAGAAGCACTTCACTGACTGAATGCCCATCTCCTCTATCTGAACAAGAAGATGAGACAATATTCCTAGAAGCCCCCACTTTTCAGTATATCAACTCCAAGGATTCAAACATCTACACAATAAAAACTCTCTTTAATTCCTCTCATCCCGATAATGTCAAGATTCTCTACAAGCCAGACAATACCAAAGATAAATATCGGTATACTCAAAAACATTGTCAATATGCAGCTGCCGCTGATCGTCCACAATTGTTGGAAGAGCTTCAGACCAGAGTTAGTCCCTTAAAACCAATTTCAATTACCTGTCTTTCTAAATAGTCTTTAGCTTCATAAACAGCTCCAGACAGGAAAACACGAAAGCGAAAAACACTGGACATCTATCAACATGAAAATTCTGGACCAGTATGTCTAATTTTTTTCAGATTAAGATCAGCCTGAGGTATCTAATCTACTCCAGCAAAATCCTCCAGATTGAGGACAGCAGTGGTAATCCTATGATCATTGTATGCCCTACCATGCCAGAAGAGCTGAGATCTCGACTACTTCGCCAAAAACTTCTTTCCAGGCTATGTTCATAG